TCCTTCTTTACTGAATGGGAGGAGGAAATGTTGTGTTAGCTGTGTGTGTGTGTGTGTAACAGTGCTGCTGTCCCTCCCTCCACTCTGCATTCTAAATGATTGACAGACCACCGACTAACATTTTCGTCCAGTCTCGTCAACGAAAACTCACACACGTTTCGTCACGTCATCAAAGAGCTATGTTTATTTCGTTACCGTCTCGTTATCATCATGAAAAAAGGGAGCGTCAATGAAAATATTTCATCATCGTTAACGAAAACAACACTGATGTGCAGACACGCACTCTATAAGCATGTTGACACGAGCTACAAACAGATTCATGCATGAGCAAAAACCTGTTTCAGAACACGGCTCAAGCTTCCTTCTTTGTTGTACGCTTTCACTAACGTGTGATTTTATTTATTCCTCTCACCTTCCTGGTCTTGTCAAATGACTCCTTTATTTCGTCGTCTGTGCCGCAGGAGGAGGAGGCGCTGCGGGCTCAGGTGAAGGACCTGGACGAGAAGCTGGAGACGCTGAAAATTAAGCGAACAGAAGACAAAGCCAAGCTGAAGGAGCTGGAGAAGCATAAGATCCAGCTGGAGCAGCTGCAGGAGTGGAAGGCCAAGATGCAGGAGCAGCAGGCCGAACTGCAGAAACAGCTCAAAGAGGCCAAAAGGGTGAGGAGACAGGTGGAGGACAAGCAGCTGCTGCTTCATCTCAACACTAAAGGACACMTTTATAACAAGTATAGAGTCGGCTCAATGTGAATACTGGATCAGAACAGTGGGTTTTAGAGTTTTTCTGTCATATTTCTGTAATATTAATTATTTTGTGTAGGAGGCTAAAGAAGCCCTGGAAGCAAAGGAACATTACATGGAGGAGATGTCAGACACAGCTGACGCCATCGAGATGGCGACGCTGGATAAGGAGATGGCTGAGGAGCGAGCAGAGTCCTTACAGCTGGAGGTTGATTCGCTTAAGGAGAGAGTGGACGAGCTCACCATGGATCTGGAGATCCTCAAACACGAGATCGAGACAAAAGGTACCAGAAAACAAGATCAGTGATAGAAATGAGACAACCTGCTGTGTTTTTAACGTTAGACACTTGGATCAGTTTTTAGTTTGATCTTACCACTACCGGTCAAACATTTTAAAACAACCTCATTTTTCTAGGTTTTTAATTTGATATTCAAGCGGCTCAAGTCCAATAAACAACTTGAAATCGTGCAGAGGTTTTAAAAATGTAAGGTCACCCAAAACTGAAAGTCAAGATGATGGGCCGAGTTGAAAGAGGAGTCGTTACAAGAATTATTAGAAAAATATGTTTTTTATTTTAACCCCCCGCAAAAAAACCCCAAAAAACTGAGCTCGTAAAAGAGGCCAACATAACAAAATGAACTCAGTCAAAAACATGACCAAACTGACTGCATAACAAAACATAACTGACCTTCTGAGACATGACACGCAAAGGTTTATACTGTATACACTCTGGCTAATCAGACCATTACAACACATGAAGGCTAACACAACACAATACAGTCACTAACTACAACAAAAATACACAGTACAGTTCAGTTCGCTAATAAACTAAATTCTAAAGAAGAAAATCAAATATTTTAAACTCTAAATGTAAATATTCAGTTAAGCACAAAAGCTTGTTTAAACAAAGAAAGTACAAGGTCCCCCTCTTCAGCAGGAACTGGTGGTGCGGTCCAGTTATCCACCTCCTGCAGTTAAGTGTCAAGCACTGGCCACCATCTTTTGTCTGGTAACTCCCCGAGATCACAGCAAGAAACCAGTAAAAGAAACAAGAATTAGTCAAAAGCACAACCAAATAAACGAGTTGATAAAAGTACATAAGTAAAACTATGTGCGTGCTTACAAATAGAACAACTGTATTTGAAATCAACAAATGACACTCTATTGCAAAATAAAGTTTAATGTATTTGAATGAATAAATAAATTAATTGAATGTGCATGAGAGTTACTGATAGGGGTGTAAGAAAATATCGATACACTGAAATATCGCGATATTTCATTTCCCGATACTGTATCGATATT